TGTGGGTTCGTTTTGTTCCACTGTGGTATTCTTCTCTCTTCGGTTGGTCTCCTGACATTCACCCCTTCTGTTACTGCCACTAATCTCTAACCAGGTTCTCCAGTAAAGAGGATTTTTTCCACCCATTGTCCGCTTTAAAATGCTGCTATGACTTAATCCACCCCAAGTGTTTCCTTACCCTCTTAAAAACTGGTTTGGAGATGCTCTACAAGTCTTTAGTTCTTTATTTAGTAAAGTCTGTGTTTGTAATGTAGTAGAAAAGTTGCTTTTTTTCTCTCAGTGAACAAGCTTTTCTGCCTGTTTTTGATACAACTGATCCAGTTTCCACAGTGTTGTAGAGTTCCATGCACTGCCCCCTTAGAAACCTTCAGTGTAGCTGTGACAGAACTGATGGAGCCCCTCTTTGGTCAGAATACCAGTCTGGTTTCTGACACTTTCACTTAATTTAATGTCATCTTTCCCACTATCACACTGCCAGTTAGTGAGAAATTTTCTGCTGGAACTTGCGGTGGAGCCATTTTTCTAACTGGTTGATTTAGTTAAACAAGCTTCTGGTGAGTCAGTGAACTCCACCTGAATATTTTGTTTTCATTTTATATTTCAGAAGTATTTGTATTTGTAAAAGTTTCTAAGTTCTCAAACTTTCCTTATTATTTACAGATCAACATGAAAATACATATTTTTGATGTGAATTCAGATATATGCACACTATTATTGCCAAACACAATAATGTGTAAAATAACACAGTACCTTTCACTAACACCACATAATGATATAATCTGTATAAAATCTCAACCAAAAAAAAAATCGCTAAAAGATAAATGGAGTAAACTTCTAAATATATAATTTAGATACAGAGAGTTTTTCAGGCTACATCAACAACTGCAGAGTGACTTTAATTTACTAATGAATTAGAAGATGTGAACAGCTGGTGCAGCCGCTCCAGGCCTGTAAAGATTTTGCAAGTTAAAAAAAGTGTGGGAAGAAAAAGTCACTTTAGGTAAAAGTCATCTTTTATTTATCTGATAACTAATACATTGAACACTTCACACAATTTCACAATGTTTCCACCACTACCGAGTATCCTCTGCTGAAACTTTAAAAGTCTCCTGTTTTCATTTTTCTGCTTGTCTACCCACAGATGATGCATATCTACTGACTGGCTTGAACATAGAGGAGATTTACCCGGAGACAAATAGTTTTATCACGTATGATGGATCGATGACCATCCCTCCATGCTTTGAGACAGCCACATGGATCCTGATGAACAAGCCGGTGTACCTCACGCGCATGCAGGTGAGCCTCAGCCAGCAACTCACACCTGAAACAGCTCTCAGAATCCAGTGGGGATTGTGTATCGCAGACAAGTATTCTCTCTCTAACTATTGTTCTCTGTGTGAGACGTGTCAGCTCAGCAGTGACACTTTTATTCCAAAACTTTCCTGCTCTGTTCCTCTGTCTAATTCTACACACAATCCGTACTGAAAAATATCCCAATAAACCTGGTACATGTTCTCATGATGCTTTTTTTGATGCTCCGTTTTCATCGTAGATGCACTCCTTGCGGCTACTGAGCCAGAACCAGCCATCTCAGATCTTCCTGAGCATGAGTGACAACGTTCGTCCTGTCCAGCCACTGAACAACCGCTGCATCCGCACCAATATCAACTTCAGCATGCAGGGCAAGGACTGCCCCAACAACAGGGCTCAGAAGCTCCAGTATCGAGGTACAAGCTGCTACCTAATTCAGTGGGCTGGCGTGTTGTTTCACTGGCTCCACCTTTAATGATTCTCCTAAATCAGGGGTGTCCAATCCTTGTCCTCGAGGGCCACAATCCTGCATGTTTTAGATGTTTCCCTCTTCCAACACACCTGATTCAAATGATCAGCTCATCATCAAGCTCTACAGAAGCCTGATAGCGATCCTGATCATCTAAAACATGCAGGAGTGTGGCCCTCCAGGACTAGGATTGCCCACCCCTGTCCTAAATCTTACCATGCAGATACGTTTGTGTTTTCATCCGACAAAGCATTTCTTATTATTGCTTCGAACATTTTGGTAACTTTTGGTGCAACCTTGGTCTTAGTTTTGTTGTTGGTCATTTTTTATTAGTGCACACAACAACGTAATTGGGGGAATCTGGAAACATGCCATCTTCTTTATATTGTAGGTCAACGGGAAAAGAAATATGAACAGTTTGGCCACATTACCTAAACCACTTTGTTTTGGTAGCTCTTTACAGATACGTTGTAACAAATTAATAACAAAGCTTGGAAACAACTGGAGGATATGCAAATAGTAAAAAGGTAACAACAAGTTATTTCAAAACAAACACATATAGTGAGCCAAAGTCATGACATTACCACCAGGCTAGTGATGGTTCTCTTGCAATACAGTCTCTCATTTAAGATTAATTGTATTTGTTTTGTTTTTTTTCTGAGAATATGAAGCATGCTCCTTGAGTTTATTGTTCATATTTAAAGAAAAATGCAAAGAAAGAAAGAATTTGAAAAATCCTAACCAGGATACTCGAGTACATCTAAATGCAGCCACAGTTACTTGAACAGAATGTGGAAGTTCTGGTTTCACTTTAGCTCACTATTCTCTCTTATCTTGTTATTACCGAGTTCCTAATATGATTTTGAGGTAAATAGCAATTTGGATGATCATTCATCAGGTTTTAGCTTTTGATGAATTAAAGGCCTATACCAATTATTGTTATTATTATTTTTTATCAATAAAAATGCAAACTTTATCGTTTATTCACTCAAACACCAACATGATCTGCTGTGTTTCAGTCATTTTTGTTTAATCTACATCCATAAACACAACACAGTGGCATAGAGGCTCCACTGCTCCAGCATTTTTGTGGGATAATTACTGCGTCACATAGATACACCAGTGCACAAGTACAACTGCTTGCAATAGGCCACTTGCAGAAACTTGTCTAGAGTTAAAAAAAATAAAATAAAAAAGCAGTTTTTTTGCTTGTTTTTTAAACTTTTGATAGTTACAGGACTCCATACTATCTACCTGGTTAGTCCACATCAACATCACAGAATCAGCTGGCTAATAAAATGTTATTACCAATTGGAAAGATGCCCAAAACTGCAAAATAGGATCGAGGTGGAAAGAAATCTGAATTTCAGACGTTTTAGATGCCAAATGTTATTTTTCTGATCCATAGCAGTCGCTGCAGCCACTTTCATTTCATTTACAATATATGAATTTGTCACAACTAGCACATACAATATAATTTGTGGTCAGTAGGTGTAATAAAATGTTACTCACCAAAGCCTTTTTGCCCCTGATGTCATTTGTTTAAAATACAACATTAATATAATTTCCAAGAGATTATTGCGTAAACATTATTAATAAATAACAATTAGAAATAATATGTCATGTTAATAATGAAATAGACACAATAAAGATATGGACGATGAAAAAGGAAAAAAAAAGAAAGAAGTCAGATGACTGGACAATCAGAACTCCTGTTTGACCCTGACTGACAGATCTGGCAGTTGGAAGGATGAAAACTGACTTGTCACAACTCACTGCAACCTGAGAAGATGTTGCTGCACTCTGTTATCTTCTCTCCTCTGTATTAGCCAGTATATCTGTGCAGCAACCACATAGAATGCGAAATTTCACTCCTGAAGCGTAAAATACGTTAAAGAACTACTATTCATTATAAGCTTTACTGTACTGCAGCTGATCTAAACCATGACTGTTTTTCTGTCTTTATCTGTCTTTCTCACTCTGTCCCTGTTCTGCTCTACTTGCCTCCCTGTCCTCAAAGATGAAACTGTAATTTTGTGCAGCAGTTGTGGGAGAGAGCTCAATATTCTCCGCCAACCTCGGACCCTTCTGATTGTTAAACAAACACACTGTCTGGATCTCTGAGTCAGGCGACTGAAAAAAACAGACCTGTTTATTTAATTGGAGATTTAAAGACCTTCATCACGGAGTCGAGAGGTTGGGGAGGCGAGTTATATGTCATTAAAGGGCAGAATACGTTTCATTTGGTAATTGGTTTGAGATCAGGAGCAACAGGACACATTTCTCCCTTCATCCACAGAAATAATCATCAACTAAATCAACTAAATGTAAAATCAAGGACATTTATAATAATCAAGCTGCTAACGAGGGATGCTGTTATTTTTTCTAAATTTGAACATTTATTTAAACGTGGAAAAACAAAAAAATAGTAAGACTATAACTGTAATGTCATGTTTGAGTATAAAATGAAGCCTAAGCACCAAATTAGCTTTGTCAGGTCTTCCATCATTGACTTTGTACTCAATATTAATACAAGCTGTTTCCACCCATCATCACATTTTGGGACTAATGTCTAGAAATTTTCCAATTCTGTCATGGCACAACAATATAATATCTCAAATTCCAGCTTACCGTGCATAAATGCATAACAAGGCTGCAGCATTTATCAACGGTTTCTCATGTAGCTCCATGAATAAAAAACAAAATACACTTGTGTGCAGTTATGTAAACCCTTTTGGTATTTAACTAAAATTACTCCTTTTGCCAGGACACCTCACAAACCCGAAGCCTTCTAAACTTTTTTTTCAGTTATTGTTTTCTGTTTTGAGTGTTTAAAATTGAAAAAGTTCCCAGTTAAAAGTTTATTTGGTACAAGTGCTTTATATCCTATGAATGTATGGTATTTAATTTTATAGATGTGGTCTTAAAATGGCCTCAAAGTAATTATTTTTTGGGCTTTTTTTATTTAGTTGAAATAGATTCTGGTAAAAGAGAACAGGGGACTGAGCTGCAGCCAAAATACAGTCTGTCAGGAGTCCATGCAGTATGCGCCCTAGCCATCACTAGACCTTATGAAAAGATCTTAATCAGTCTTTAAGTTAACATTCCTAAATATGCAGATACCCTGATTGTGGAACCCATGATTTAGCACTGCAGCTGACTGACTAGCTCATCGTAAATCAAGAACCTCCTCAAAGGCTCCTGAACCTTGCTTGAGCAGGGACTCCATAGAGTTCTTTTGGGGGCCTCAGTGAAGCTTAACCCTTTAGCAATCATTGGCTTGAATATAAGCCTAAGTAAAAATTCTGCTACCCTAAAAAAAGCAGACAAGTAATGACTCAGTAGCCATTCTGGCAGCTCTGTGGCAACCTGGAGGTCGACCATGATCATAGTTTTTGGAACACAGCTATGGATCTTTTAACACACATTAAAAATTCTGCCAATGTATTATGAATGGTATTTAGCCTTTATTAATCCAATTAATAAAGGGTCAATTTGGTTAATTTAACTCCTAAATCCTCTGGTTCTTCAAAACATTCTAGGTTCCCAGGGAGAGTTTCTGCAGTGGAAATGCAATTAATTACATTTAGTGTTTGATGGACAGTTGAAAAACAAAAACTGTTGAGTTCCAATCAAACAAAAGTGAGTCATTTTTGCTTTAAAAAATTACGTGAAGGATTGATCAATCATCAAAATTGCTATAGTTGGAGAAAACTGTCTTTCTCGCGTGTTCGTTTCTCAAGATGAGATGAGATTCAATTCGGTCTCAATCAATTTAATTAACATTGAATATTGCATTACAGAGCTCTGGGTCAAACTCTCCCTAGCATCAGACAGAGTGAGACTAAGACCTTTCCTTCAGACCCTTGTCTTATACTATTCAGTCACATGATGCATGGTCATGTCACAAATCAATTGATTGGGGCCCATCTTCATCACACTGAGTAGTTGCATCCTTATATGGACTTCTTTTTCTCCGTCTTTTTCTCCGTCTGTTGCTTGTCCTGTGAAACCATATAAGGAAAAGACCCAGGCAACTTCTTCAAAAGGAGACATTTCATGACTATGTGCATATATGTAACTTCTTTTATATTTTAAACCTTAAGAACTATACTTCACACATGATATAATATATTTATACACAACACCATCCAAAAACAATCAAGTAGGCAATTATTTCAGTTCTGGAAAACTGGTTGAATTTTCATTTGACTGAGGAAATAAAGACCATTTATAATGATATAGATATATATATGTGTGTGTCAGTTGAGGCCAAAGAGAAATGTTTGCTCCAAGATCCCCTCATGAAGCTTAATCCAGCCATGAATACAATTTATTGATTGCATTTGAGTTAGTTTTAATGGCCAAATTTCCTCAAGAATCAAGCTTCAGGATTTTTCTGAAAAATGCTTAGTTTTTTATTTTACTATTTCTACCCCCTGATGGAAGTAAATATGATATCACACTCCAATTCATTCTTTATTCCACAGAACATGCCACCCTCCTTGTTAATTTTTACTAGCACACACCCCATCCTCCTCAGCCCTCCACCAACGACCACACACCTATGCACATCCATTCCATTCATTTGAACACCTTCCTGTATAAATTCCATGTTATTACTAAAGATGAAATATGGTGTGTGGGATTTGAGGATGCTGGGTGCAGAGGGAGGCTGGATAATGTCACACAACAGTTGAACTGTGGAGATACCCGCATATAAATCAGTATTCTCACTCCTGTCCTTCTCCTCTCTTCCAGTGAACGAGTGGTTGCTAAAGTAGCCTCCCTTGGATGAGCGTGGAGAAGAGTGTCAAGAATGAAGAACGGGATAAGGCGAAGGGGAGGAGGAGGAGGAGGACAGGATGGAGAAGGGAAAGATGTGAAAACTGGCATTAAAGGGTGCATCCCATCTAAGATTCTTTCATGGCATTGTATAAAGACAAACAACACCGGACATTATTCGAATGAAGGAACTTTGCGATGCGAGCAAAGACACTCTTCTTTTCATACATTGAGAACCATTCGAACCCTTGATATAACACACGCTAACAAGCCCTTTCCCCCACTGTACAACTATATCTTAACATTTTGATACCAACACTTTTTTTGGGAGAAAACAAAAAAAAATAGACACTTGGCAACAAACTTTAAAAAAACAATGTGGAAGCATTCATTTGAGAGCTTCCCAAACAAAAGGACAACGTTCGGACTTTAAAGCCTTTGTACATAAAAGATGTTGCTATCAGTGGGAAAAATCCAAGGACTAAGTCACTGCCCCCATCCTGCCAGTCAAGACGAAGCAGTCAACGAGCCTCACATGGACGTTCCATTACCGTCACCAACAGGGCATGCAATCAGCGAAACCTACAGAGAGGGAACACAGCCTTACCTTGTAATTTTTTTCAAAACTCGAGTCATGTCATGGGAGACAAGCAGATACTTAGAGGCTTTCTTACAGACAGCGTCTCGGCCTCGTTTGTACATATTATAATTATCAATACTGCAGAAAGATGAATATGTAAAAAAAAAAAAAAAAAAAATTTAAAAATAATTACATTCAAAAGATATATTAAGAGGATTTTAAAAAAAAGGACAAAAAGTTAAGAATTTTAAAAGCTTGGCGCACTTTGAATTTCAGAGCAGTTCTCAGTCTGAGCTGATGCCTTTTTTTCTGTTCTATTGTTTACAATGGTCATACACTGTGTTTGAGTAATGTTATCAGCCCAATAAATGTGTCTGGAAAGTTCACTTTGGAAAATCCTTCACTATATGAGGACTAATTGTACCTGTACCTGTTTTGTACTGTTCCATATTAAATGTGTTGATATGTCAAGATTCCCCCCTTAGAGGCATGCTCAATAACGCCGGCATTACCGAGATAAACCTTCAGTCACAGATGTCGTCGTAGCGTTTTCATGACAAACCCTCCAAATGGGATTGCTGATGATGATACAGATGCAGCATTACAGCCTGCTCTCTTTTCATTGTTCACATGATACAGCTGAAGCTTATCAGTGAGGCACAGGGGAGCCTCTGTCAGGGCTACCGTGACTTGTCATAGTCTTTCATATCACATCAGCAGGCATCAGGGGACATGAAGGAGAGGAACCCGACATAACTAATATTCCGGGATCTGGATACTGCTGCCTACCTCATAATGATGGTCTTTCTACAGGAAACTGAAGAAAAACAATCATCAGGACCCTGTGCCTGGTTTACTACGACTTTTCAAAGGTTGACGAAGATACATCTCATGTCTGACGGGAGTATGACAAAAAAATGATACCACTGAGAAGCCAGACAAGCTGGTGTCTATGACAAAGCCAGTGAATGATTTAGCTGTATGTAGAAACAGAGAGGCTGGTAAGATCTATCACTGTAGCTAACAAAATAACTCCACAGGAAACTAAACAGGTGTGCCTGTGAACTTATTAAGGCACAATTTCTAAAAGGGTTTAAAAGCTGTAGCAAATGCATTTATCAATGGCTAGCACATGGTTTATATATTCCTTATCAGCATGTATAAGAACTGCGCTTGGGTTGCAGGTTTTGTAAATTCTCCAGCATCCTTGCCCTTTTAGCAGGTTCAGTAATTCATCAGGATACGACTCCAATGGACTGTTTGACCCATAGACTGTATAAAAGATGGACGTAGCTACCGTGACGTCACCCGTTGGTTTCTGCACTGAGAAAATGAAGCCAGGGTTTTGTTACTTCCTGGTTGACATCTTGGATTTTTGGAGCCAGTGACGCAAAAATCGTCGGAGGGGGGCGGAGCCATAGGAGCAGACGGATTGAGAGGCGGGCCCTCTCTGCCCGCCCACATTTACCGCCTTCTGCTTGCTTTGTCTGAACCGTCGCTGCCGACTGTCAATCTAGCCAGCCACGCCCCTTGCCCCGCAAAATTTTGACGATTTTTAAAAATTCAGTATTGATTTATTTTCAGATTGGCCACCTGATCTCTGAATTTGATTATGAAAACTAATAAGAAAAAAAATCCTGAGCTGTAGGAATGCAGTATTTCGTGATCTGTGATCGCTTCTTTTCCAATTCAAGTCTATGGGAGCCAGGGCTTTTTGGAGCCAGCAGCTCTCGGACGTAGGTTTTTGACACTTCCGGGTTGACTTCATTTTTCAGGGTCGGTTGCTACGTCCATCTTTTATACAGTCTATGGTTTGACCTCCTGTCTTATACAAAAGTGCTGCAGGACCAGAATCTAATCATAAACTGGTTACTACCAACAAACTTGATGGATTGAACAGGGTATCATAAGATGGTAAAAAAATCTTATATTTGTTTATGCAGAATCAAGGCCTTAACTACGACTTCAAACGACTCCTTAAGTCCCTAAATCCATGCATTAAAGGTTCAATGCAAATAAAATTGATTTTTGCTGCATTTTTAAAAACTTTGTGAACAATAATTGGGGGATATGGCTACAGACAGGATGGACGGCTTCAGCCATGGTGATCATGTGACTTCCAGTGCAAATGCTATTGTTTTTCATGGTTTTCATAAGACTTTTGTGACTCCAGTGAGGTAAAGATAGGAACACTGGCTGAAATAAATGAAAGTAAATCTAAAGCCTTTTAGATTCTCCAGATGTTCAAGCAGTGAGCAAGGGGAGGTTGTACAATAAAGATTATAATCAGTTAAAACTTTCATTTTTCTAATATTTGGATCAGTTCTTTGTCTCTTTGGAAGAACATAGTCCACTAGCTACCTAAGGACCACCTTATTGGATTATTACTCAACAGCAACACTAAGACATGTTATTACCAGAACATAAGATTAAAACAGGGACGACACTAGTGCAAGATAATTTGTATACAAACGCCATAATGGAAACTTCTTTCTCTTGAAAAGCCATAAAACAGCTCAACATATATTTTACCATATTGGTCTCTAAAGTTTTTCTAGTTAAAGTTTTGAATGCATCAACATCTATTCAAGCTTCATGTATAAGTAGCTAAATCCTGTGCATTGATAAAAAGACAAGCAGTGTAATGGTGTCGCTTTCATTACAATGTTCTGTTTAATGTCTTAAAACTGATCTTTAAAGCGTTATTTTTTAACCAATAATAAAGTCATTAATCAACAACTTGTAAATCTCTCAGAAACAATGCACATTTATTGTGAGGCCTGTAGTTGGGAGAAAGTGAGGTAGTTGAATGTAGACAGTAAATCCCAAGAACATAATATCACAAAGTATAAACAGGTGTAGGACTCAAGTCTGCACTACTCATCGCTCTAGTAAAAGTCCATACACCTTTCTGACCATGTAGACAGGTCCCCTGTCAATGAGGTGGGTACGGAGCTGAAGATCTGGGCGGCATCAGCAAACCCTCCCTTGCTGGCTTGACATGACTGATGTGGAATGTGGGGTGAAATCTTGTGAATCAGAGAAGTTTCAACTTCACAGCAACAGGATTTTGACCTTTAGGCGTGGATGGCGGGAAGCAAGAGGTGGTGCAGGTCTTGCTCAAGGAGGTAACTGAGCCAGGGATCCAGTTTATGTGGTGGTTGTGTCTCTGAAGCCGGGTGTATCCCAAAATAAAGGGGTGCTGGGCTGAATTTACTTGAATTTTCCAGTGTATTTGTCAGAAAACGTAGGTTTTGCCAGATTGGTGTGGTGGGTCACTTGCCAGAGTAGCTTGCTGTCAAGAGCTGTGGCTTGTAGGGGCTGAGACAGGGGAACATAGACCAGGCAAAGCTCTCTGGTGAGGCTGATGTCCATTATATTACCATCAGCATCAAAATCCACCAACACCACCTGTGAGAAAAACAGAGGAAGAACATAGGGTTCCAGAGGGCAAAGGGGGAGAGGGATTATTTACTGTGCGGATTAGGCTCACCAGGACTCTCTTCTTCACTGGCGAGTCGCCCCTTTTACCAGATAAAAGACAATGAGTTGTAGATGCAACGCCCCTCTTCAATGCACCCCATTCCTTGGGGTTGAGGCATGTCCGTCCAACCTGCATGAGCTCCTCTGAAAGTGCAGCATTGGTGACATTTACCAGTGAGCTGGGTGATGGAGTCTGTGGTAGAGGGTTGATCAGTGTGGAGTGAGTAGCCGTATGAACAGGCTGTCTTGGAATTTTCTATCTAACAAGGCTCAAGGTGAGAAACAAAAGCTTCAATCAGACTGGATCTGTCTTTGAGTATTATCTTACAGCAAAAGAGAGACAGTGAAACAGATAGCTCGCAGGCTGTTGGTGAGGTTCTCCGCCCAATACAGAGGTTTGTCTATACCCAAATGTGACTGACGTCAACTCCCTGTTGTTGCTGGGGCAAGTTATACTTAATTTATTGCTGTTTTGGCACCTACTCAGCGCTTGGTATCGAGACTGAGCTTGTGGTTTTATATGTGTTAGTGCCGGTTGATGTGGAACCGCTACTTCTGGGGGCACGGTGACCTTATCTTCTACAGCCTGACAGAAAGTAGAAGCTGTACCAAGAGTTATGAGTTCAAAAGTTAACTGGAGTAAAGGTTACACTGAGAAGGTTAGCTGGAGCAGACACTACACTGAGAGTACAAAGCATTTTTTCCATTACAGGGCTTACAGAAGTGGAGAGGGTACGAGAGAAAGCAGACACTGAAAGTCTTTGCATTAGGAGGATAATTTGCTCACCCATGTTTTCCTGTCACTCTCCCATGTTCCCAATACACTGTCCCTGGGCTCTCAAGGCAACAATAACAGGATCCTGAGTCCATGTTAGGCCATTTTGTAGTATCACAAAAGTACAAACAGGTGTACGAATCTAGGATGCTTGACACATTGCACAAGTCCAAACAATTTATTTCACACTGAACCAGGCAGGGGTATCCAAGACTCATTGGCAAACTCAGTGGTCAAAACAGGCAGTTTAAAAAAAAAAAAAAGGCACACATGAAGCAATAGGGACAACAGAGGAAGGCACAGGGCACAAGACACACTAGCAAGGAACATAAGGAATGGGATGAGTACATATACACTGGTGCAGTAGAGACAATGAGGCACATGTGGAGCACATTAGAGTAGGACAAGTGATCACACAGGTGGGAAAGCAGATAAAGACCGCGGAGTGTTAAGAGATCTACGAGCTGGACATGGCACACATCGTCCATTTTTTCAGAAAGTCTGAAGACAGCACTGACTCACAGATGCTGGTGGAACAGCAGCTTGCACAGGTGTGACATCTGGATATCTGGCTTCTTTCCCAGTCTGGTGTGGAAGAACTTGACAGGGCTTTGACGTCAAAGCCATTCAACACCTTTAGGATCGCATGGAACACCGGTGGAACTAGAGTTTAAAGTTCTAATCCTTAAGATTTCGTCCCTGGAGTACTGGCAGCAGAAAATACTCTTGAGCAGTTATACAAAGAAAGAGCAACTAGTCTGTCTGTTTGGAATGGAACTAAACGAAACAGTTTCCTTGTAATAAAGAAGTCGATCAATATTTGGCCTTTCTCGTTCCAGTGCTCCTTAATTACTGATTATATGCCGTAATGGTTAAAGAGACAGCTATGATGTTCAAGAAAAAAGACAGTTTTGCTTTTCAATTCTATTTTGACAATCTCACATGGATTGCTAGGTAAGGCAAAACCAGTTGCATTTCCATAATAGATAGGCTACATGCCATGAAGTGTCAGTAGAATCAAGCTATATACAAAAT